CCTCTCCACTGTCGCTACAAGCATGCTTAGTGTGAGGGATTGCTGAAGAGTCAATGAGTCGATGCAATCAGCTGGTTTTCCTTAGATAGAAAACTTTGCCTGGATGATCTGGTTAATCTTGATCTACAAAGTGACGTGAGATTATATGATGTGAATTGGAGCTATAGAAATAAACTGAATAGAATGAAGATGCCTGTCTATCATCCTGTAGCCCAGGCCAGTCTGTAGAGGTAAAGACCTCCTGTATGCAGGAACAGACCACCTTTAAGCAGGTATAGCTGCTAAAGGAGAACAGATGCTCTCCTTAAAGAACAACCATCAGGTTAGTGAGAGGAAGAATTTTACTGATAAACTAAATAATTCCAGCAGCAGACGGTGTGATCTGCTGACACCATGTTTCTATTCATTCTAAGGGGAAATATTCTGTCATCATTCTGTGATCCTTTGACAGGAGTCCATCCTCTGACTCTGGGTGAAGATTTCTCTGATTCCAACATGAAGAAATAAGAGCAGGAAGGTTGGAAACTGAACAGTAATTGACTTTAGAAACAGCTGATCTTCATGGTTTGAACAGTTCCTATGAACAATCAGTGCTTCTCCATCTAAAGGGTCGGGCTGCAGGCGTCTGTCCCGCCCACTAACTCTAAACCTCTACCAGCTCCAACTATTTGGACTGAGACGGTTTTACCTTGATATGGAGCCACTGAAATAAATCACCAGACAGCAGAGGTTCAAAATAACATCAGGACAGGAATAAAACGAAGGCAGCTGTTTGCTGCAGGAACAAGCTGCAGCCGGAGGACAAAAGGACTTACTTTTGTAATTCCAGTGAATACTGGTGACCTGGATCTCCTGAGTGGGAATGTACTCCTCTACAAACTTCTTCCCCTGCAGTCGGTGCCACAAAGTGCTCTTTCCAGTATTTCGGTCTCCTCGGATGACTATTTTCACTTGAGTGAGAAAAGTAAAACCAGATGTTATCACAGTTTGGCACCGAGGGAACATCTGCTCTGCTATTGATCATCTTACTGTTATACTGAACGCCTTTGGCGAAGCGGCGCTGCAGACTCTGGTTCATGGACTGCAGTCCTGCAGGGATGGTTTTCTCCCTGAGCTGCCCAGGCTCAGACCCCACCAGCTTCTTTAGAGCTGAAAACATCTTTGACCAGGAGATCCAAACCCTGAGCCTCCACTAGATGAGATTCCTTTAGAAAACCGTAGAACCGTCTCCTCAAAGGGGAGGAGCTTAGCGCTCCATGTTTAGAAACAGGACAGATTGATAGTTATGGATGAAGGTGGACCCTGTCAGTGGAGAGCTCATCTACTGGGATGTTAGGGCCGTCATCTGAGAAATAAACAACAACAGACGTTAGTAAATAAACAACAACAGACGTTAGTAAATAAACAACAACAGACGTTAGTAAATAAACAACAACAGACGTTAGTAAATAAACA